GCCCTGGGCAAGACTATGACCAATAAGAATTGAATTTTATGCTCCTGCCAGGGTGATTTATGATTTACTCCTTTAAAATTTCCCTGTGATCCAAAGCAGGACAAGGACATGGGAATTAACACGTTTTTCAACATGAACATTAAAGTAATCAATAGATGGCAAACATGCAGGCATAATGGCACTTTACAGCTGGACATAAACCCTGAAAATCAATGTTTGAAGTATAAAAAAAACACTGCAGTAATCTCCAAAAATAAATCATCGAGTTCATAGATCTCGCTCGTCCACAGAGATGAAGCCTGCAGTGTAACCTCGCTATTTGAAAACCCCTTCTTTGCCACCAGCCTCCTCAGGGAGAATATCACACTGTCTTTATATTATAAGAGCTTTGTTGTACAGGCTGAGATATATTTTTTACGGAGCAGCTGATCATAGGTGAAATTAGGATTCGTTTCCAGTGCACTTTAATCACAAATCTTTAGCCTGGGAAGGGGGGGAAATTACGACTGCATTGTAGCGCAGCATGCATGTCTCAGATTACGGGGACCTGTGAGAAATGAGTTCATCACTGGTGACTATACGTTCAGAATGAATTTACAGTTAAACGTCACAACACACAGCAACATTTCGCTGTTTTCATTTGTTTAATAACAGTGTAGAAGATTTGAAAAAGTTTCGAGATATAGCTTGAGGGAGGAATCTGTGATTTCTCTGAATTATAATTAGTAAAATGATCAAACAAGCCTTAATGCCATTTTATGTCTCTCAGCTACAGATTGGTGTAAGTTGCTGGTTTCTAACCCTATTTGTTCCCATACAGCTGCTGAAATAGCCCACACCCCTTATGAAACAGATTTAAATTCACTAAATTGAGATTTTTCATTAGATATGCACCAAATACTCAGATTTCAGTCCTTTAAACATGCCAGGTTTTTTCATCAACATCCAAAATTCCTGGATTCTACCCCAGATCCAGATCTCCACCACAATTTAATGGATGCTTTCCTGATCCATACCGTTTCCTTCCACCAAGAATTGTGGAAATCTGCCCAGTAGTTTTCTGGTAGTCGTGCCAGTTAGCAAATGCTGATGATAGCATAACCTCCTTAATCAGCAGAGGTAATGAATCAAACTCTTTCAGTGGTAAGTTGGCAGATATTCACGAGGAAGCTGCCATGTTTGTCATGTTATTTTGCCACTCGACATACAGCACAGTGTGTTGATTACCACCCCTGCAGAGCTGTGTGTTATCTTTCATTATTACAATGAGAAACCGAAACAAACTATTCTTAAAGAAAGACTCAGTAGAGGGGAGGTCATGCTGGAGCCCCCAGATGCCAGTCTGAAAGTAAAATGCCACCATATTTCACCTTTACATAAAAACAATAATTCATTTTGGACTGGAGTTTCTATTTGCTAGGAGGAGAAAGAACGACTGCTGATATCTCCCTAGGTGACTCAAACTACAGCACGAAACACAGATGCTTGCATGGAGAGCACAGCAACAATTAATCAATCCTACGACACACACATCTCTCCTACAAAGATGCAGGGGCTGCATTGTGTCGGCTCAGGCACTTAGACGAAAGCCGCAGTAAACAAACAAAAATCTATTTTTTTTACCAGCTCTGAGCAAAATGCTTCTTCAAACAATCCAACCTGCATTTTATAAAAACAGGCTGAACAATAGCAAATATCTGGATAAAGGAAAATAAATTCATGGGCATTTCAAAGTCAGTTCTCACCCTGTCTCTCTGCAAAGTAAATGGAAACAACAATAGCTCATTCAAACTTTCACTGGAGGCGGCGGGGTTGGAAATCGCTCCTTGAAGTGGTCCGCCCTTCTTCTGAGGCAAAAGGCAATTTCATGCTTCAGCACGGCTCAGGGGGACATCAGGACTAAAGGTGACTTCAAGGTTAACGGTGCAAACATAATACACATGTTGGAAAACTGGCAGAACAAAACCGCCCCTGGTCACAATATCTCGAGGTTTAATTGAGAGGGAAAGTCATTTATTTGAATTTTCATCTTAGTACTTCATATGCTATAAGTACATCTTATAGTCAACATGGAGGCTTTTGGATGAAATAAGGGGAAACGGAGAAGCTTCTGTTTACCCTGGTGTTGCTGCTGTTGACAGCCCGTGCAGTGTCAGCGTTCAGCCTGTTGCCAACCTTATCTGTTGGTGCTCGATGTGACAGGCATCAATAATTCAAGGGAACATCTCAGTGTTGGCAGCCATTTACAGATGAGAGGCCAGTGAAGTGTGTTTGTTTTCGCTGTAGGTTTGAACCGGTGTCAACAGCAACAAGCAACACGTATATTAACAAGTCTTTGCAGCGGGTCGGCACAGAGACTGGAGGCTGAAGCTTGAAGAGTGAAACCAAAACACAAATAGCAACTGATTTTGTGATTTTGTTGGTTATTTGTTGGAGAAGGTGGAAGAGAAGTGAGACACACACAGAGTAGTCGGGTCTCCTAGACCTTCGGGTAGAAGTCTCTTTGTTTTCTGTCAATCTTGTCGTCTAGTTTATAACAGGCCTAAGAAACACCTGGTGATCATAATAGCAACAAATTTAGCCAGAAGTTAGCGACTAGCAAATGGAAAAGTCTGCTTCTAGCAGTTGTCAGGCAGTGCACATTCATGTGCTAGCTTTTCCAGGATTTCCAACCCTAAACTTCAGCACTTTGCTGCTTTCTACAACACTTTTGTCTTTTATCCCAATCTAGCTCATTTGTATAAAAGGTGACCTGAACTATTAAGACAAAGGCTTCTGAGTTAAAAAAAAAATGTTCTCAAAGATGTTCACACTTCTAATCTGAACTAAAAGCTTTTCAACCAAATCTTCTGGCTCCAGCATAGTTACAGCCAAGCTGGTGACCAGCATCAAACCCACGTCAGAGCTGCCAGAGATCTGTTTGTGAAGCCTCAGTGATGTGGCAGACGCCAGTGTCAGTGTTTCTGTCATCAGTGTGCGACCAGAAACATTTCAGCACCACAGACAGCTCCAGTGACAGACACTCAGGTGTTTCAGAAGAAAAGAAGCAAATCAGTTCACTTCAACACAACATCAACAACAAGCTTCAGGAGGAACACATTCATGCTTTCAAAACTTTCTGGGACAGCCTGTGAGAGTGAAACCACCCAGAGAGCTTCTATATCTTCATGTGTGGGCCTGTACGTGTGTGCAGATGTTTGTATTTGTGTGCATGTGTCTTTGAAAATTGGGGGGGGGGGGCAAGTAAAACAGAAGTGTCTTACATCCTCATCCTCTCGCACGCATTTCTTGCGGTACGGCACGTGAGCCCTGCCGTCGACGGCTTGCTGCTGCGGGCTCTTCACGGCGTTCTCCTCGTCTGCGACCTGTCCACCGAGGAGATGGCTGGCCTCAGGTGGGTGCGGGAAGGAATTGGCGGTATTGATCTTCCCGGTGAATCTCTGGTACAGCGAAGCCATGATACAGGTCCAGTCCAAAATAAAAAAAAACAACTTAGAGCATATCAGAGCCACGGACGGAGCTCGGTCTGATTTATTTCTTTTCTTGTTTTGTTATTATTTGGGCAGATCTGTTGGTTTTCTGTGCGCTTCGAGGAGACCCGATGGCAGACAGCCAGTTTTCACCTCCGGGATGGAGCCAAAAAAAAAAGATGAGGAGAAGACACTCAGCTGTAAAATACGCATCTATAGATTGTGGGTGACTCACTGCTTGATGTGAAGCCGAATCCTGGATCAGATGTCCGTTTAGCTTTATCCAGGCGCACGGCAGACTGGTGGGCTGTAGGTGTCAATAGTTGCTCTCTTCTGTATTCACAGCACGTTGTCTCCCCCTCTTCAGATGCCTCCTTACAGCGAGAACAGCGGGCGGATGCGCCGAGTTTCCGGCCAGATGATCGATCCCCCACCGAACTCCCGCTGATGGTGCGCAAACCAGTAGAAAGGGCAAAAAAGAGAATGTTGCCACACTTTCGGCTCTGCTTTTTGGCTCACAGCCCTCACGCATGAGGATTGTGAAAGACGCAGAGATCCCGGCTACTCTCCGCAGACGCGCTCTGCATGAGAAGTGACCAACACTGAGCAGCTTCTCCTGGAGCACCGCTGTCTTATGTAGCGTTTACGCACAAACATTCGCCTCAACCAGACGCGTTTCACCTCGATTCGCCTTCAATTAAAACCTCTTATAATGTAAGGTTGCTCCTTTTTTTATCATGAATGGAGTCATTAATTTTTCTCCCCAATCATCTCACATGGTCCCAGGACGGATCTCGAGTGCCTCTCTGTGGCGCGCTGCATTAGAGCAGGCTGACCGCAGGTCTTCAGACATATCTACTCTCCTCCTGTACAACAACAAACATTCGTGTTTATTAAACCAAATAAACACCTGAAACACAACAGCAAAGCTTCAATTCTTCTTATATGTCTCAAACACCCGGAGACAATTACAGCAAAATCCTACAGCAAAACGCCATATCTGATTTCTCTACATAAGGGTCCATAAAGGGGCCACAATTTACACAAAGCTTTCAGACATGCCCTGAACTCCTTATAATCACCTCACACTCTCCAGAGGGGCTGAATCTGAGAGGGCAAATGTCCAAGTAAGAGACATTCTCCAGAGTTTCTCCGGCCAGCTCCCTATTGTAAAAAACTCCAGATATAATGTCTGAAGGAGATGATGAAATATTCACTGTGAGAGAGTGGGGAATGTTGATGACGTTTCTAACATGTGACAGACAGAAATATGAAAAATACAACAACAATACAAATATCCCAGAAGGAAAAAGCTGTACCACATGCGTAAAGTCACCAATGAAGATGTCAAGAGGGTTTTTGGTAATAAGGCCGGACACCAGTGACAATGTGCTGTAAACAAAAACATGAAGAAATGATACGTCACGTTCTGCCTCCACCTGCTGCACCACCCCTCACCTGAGCACCACAGAGATTTCTATGTGGTTGTGAACATGTCTGTGCGGAGAATTTTCAGCTGCATTGTTCATGTGTGGAAAGCAAACTCCAGATAAAGTCCAACCCAATGTGCAGACATTCCCCAGGGTCCATGCCTGAAAATGGCTTCAGTGACTAGTTTAGTTCATTAATTTATTTTTTATGGACAGAACGGTGGCACTTCAGATGGCAATCAGATGGGGCAAGTATCCCCCACAGTCCCGCCCTAGATCCACCCCGCACCAGAATAAAATACATACATTTTTGGTGTTCATCTCTCCTGAATCATAAGACTCATAAATACTTTTTCTTTAAATCTCATCTAACAGTAATAATTCAAACCATCCCTGTGTCTGTTCCTCCCCAAGATTTATCAACTATCCCTCACTTTATCGTATACTTTGAGTCGGCTCCCACAATAGTGGTATTCAGCTCATGCACTACATTGCAAGTGATTTAATGGTTGAAGTGCTCATAAAGGCCACGGCCATGCAGCTCCCTGGTAAATGCAGAATATAGGCTTATGTGGGGTGGAGAGCGGGGGTAAGGGTCTTGAGTCAAACTGTTCAAATTTCTGCCATCCCCCTGTCATGACTGCCACAGGCGAACAGCCCTCAGCCTCCCACCGTGTCAGCTCAAACTATCACTCCAGCGGGCCCAAGCAGTATTTCTGGGAAATAGGTCATCTTCACAGGGGAACAACTTCAAAGCAGCGGCGCCAAAGCTCGGCTCAATTCAGCCCCTAAATATTCTGTCGAGTACCGCCGCTCTGCATCTCCCGTTTAGTGAAATCAAGTCCAATTCAAGATGAACTGCAAAGAGTAATCAGGACACAAAGACAACAACAAAAGAAATGTAAACATTCTAAATGCAATGCTGAGCAAAGAGCCAGTTTAATAATTTTCTTATCCAAGTAGTGAGTCGTCTCCATCTCTGAAAGAACCCCTTAAGGCTCATTGATTCATGGCTTGTAACCTTTATAATAGGATATGTATCTGGAATACACAATATTGATTTCAAAGGTTTGGCCATTCATTTAAAAACAAGGACATAAGGCATTACTGCCTCTGCCTAATTAAAGTTATTTCTTCTTTCCTTTTCATTTTAAAATCAATTTCCTTTGACTGTGAATATATCACTCATAAATTAATTGAATCACAACTTTGTTTGATGCATTTGCGTGTTTTTTAATTGGAGTCTCAGCAGAGATTTATGTTGGGAGCTGAACATCTGGGCGTCTAGCAGCGTCCTCTTCCACAGTGGCTCACTCTGGTCCCTGTCATCATTTGTTTCTGTAATTCATAAATGCCTCTTCCTGGGTCTGCGCACCCCCAGGGAAATAGGTCCGAGTCGCTTGACATCCATCCCGTCGTCTCTGATATATGTCTTGCAATCTCTCTCACCTTGTTGGGGAGCCATTGTGAACTGCCTGGCTGCTTTAACGCTCCCCTCAGGACTGTGCCGGGGAGCCTGGGCTCAGCTTGACTCCCCATATCGCCCCCTAACAGATACACCAGGCGAGCAGAGCTACGCCTCTCACAAACATTGCAGCACTCAAGCTAAGCATTATAGGTGGTAAGAATTTGTAGGCTGTTATAACAGCTATAATGATGATGGTAGTTGGAGCATACATAATAACTCTGCGTGTGGCTAATGGAAGAGCTGGAGCATACACAAGCTAAAACTTACCTCAGGTGTAACACTGGACATTGCCATTATAATGAATGCATTTTTATCTGAATGACGTGATTTGATCGGGTGAGTTTACTTTTGATTCTCACGATATGTGTGCACAGACACGTTACTGGAAGAGTTACAACCTAACAATGCACAGATGTTTTTTCATTATATAAAGGCGAGTGGGCGCAATTAACGTGTCCCTCGCCATGCTGAAACAAAAAAAATGTCAAAATACCAGTGATCATGTGAGCGGCTCTGAGGACTGCGTAGAAAGAAACAGCAACTTTGTATCATCATTTAGCAGCAAAGACTGAACTGGAACCAAGATGTTATAGAAACAAGCCAGGTTGAGCCTTTGTATGTTATTTTGTTGTTTGTGTAAAACAGCTTGAGGTGCAGTTCAGTGTCACTACATTCATACCTTTGCATGATTCATGACCTCAAATGTAGCTTGAATTATGGATTTGAAATGACAGAAACGCCACCACGGGTCAACTTGTTTCCATCAACACGCTACACACACTGCAACCCGATGACACACACATTAATTGGATGGAAGAGCAAACAGATCAATCAATGTGTAGAGGGAGCGCAGTGATCTCCTCCAAACATCACTCGGCTGAATAAGGCGATGACTGCACCTCTCTACATGCATGTAACTGAATGGATTTAGTCACAGACCAACATAATCCCATTTTCGCACCATTTTCCATTTGGTATTAGCCCGGCACTAATGATTTCCCCTGATGCTGTGCCAAGCCGACCACGGCAACAAGTTTCTTTATCATCCCGCTGCCTGTGCCGGATTACACGCCCGGCTTTGCTGTTGACTGGACGTGTATTTTATCTCAAAGCTCAAGACAGTTTATTACTGGGCCGTAAGTAGTTTCCTCTCATATTGAATAAAATCGTCATAAATCCACTTAAAATTAGCTGTTTACATTAAATTTGTCCAATTATGAGAACTGCTCTTTCAGCAGGAATAACACAATTACACAATGTAGATCAGAGGGTTTCAAACTGTGAAGTCCTTCTCCCCAGAGGACAGAGGTTGAAGGGGTTGAATTGGGGACATAGAGGGAGGAGTTGTGAGACAAAGATACCGCATGAGGTGAAAGAGACACACAGAAGGAAGTTGATTGTTTTAGTTTGATTTGTCCCACCTACCAGTTCAATTACCAGCACCAGCATCTGTGACACACACACCTCATGGAGGTGTTGGTTCAAAGCAGTAGCGTCTGACTCCCCACGCTTTTTGTCAAACTCTTACTTCTTCTCTGTCGCAACTAAGTCAAATCAGAACGCACAATAACGATACACATACTTTCACATTTGGTGTGACTCACACTGTCTGGCAACATCTCCTATTGTGCAAAGAAATGTGCTTAAAAGTCATAGAAGAATAAAGTCATAGAAAAATAGGCTCCTTATAACCCAAACCATTAACCCAAAAACATGACTGAGAAAGAGAGTGACTGAAAGCGATTTCTGGGAGACTCTAACCCTAACCACAGTTGCTACTTACCTAACCATAACCTTAACCATAACCTTGAAACATGTCTTCACCTTAATATTTAATGTTTTACATTATGGGGATATTGATCTTTGTGCCAATAAGGAAGACAAGTCCCCATAATGTGGCTGTGTAAACAGATTGAGGTCCCCACGACGTGAATAATACCTGGACACCACACACACATGGAGTGGAGTGACAAAATACAATAATATTAACATTAGACTTGTTTACTGGACAGACAGACAGACAGACAGACAGAGGGACAGAGAGATGGACAGAGAGACAGACAGAGGGACAGAGAGATGGACAGACAGACAGGGAGGAAATATGTTCTTCTGTCAGTGTTAATCAAAATTTAATTATTCTTCACTGTGGGCCAGAGTCAAAAGGAGTCTGCAGAGTAATACCTTCCCTATAATGGACTTCCACCTACACTACATTACAACACTTGTGTAACAGAGTTGAATTCAATTACTGTGTCCAGCTTTATTACAATTGGGCCCGATGCACAAATCACCAAGGCAGACACATTTAGTTCAGGTCATATTAAAAAGATAATATGCTAATACAAGACGCATAAACACACCGTTTCTCATGTAGACAACACATTCTGTGCATTCTTCTTTTATAAAATCCCTCTAATTTTAACTCACTTTGAAACAGAAGTAAAATCAAGGGTCTTAACTGCTCCCGTGATTGAAGCTAGCTGAGCACGTTGTTCCTTCTACAGAGAATAAGTGCAGAATCTTCTACTACATTATGAAGGCAAGTTATGTAGTGATCCGAAATTGAAATGGCAGCGGATAACTCACTGAGGAAATGGAGTTTGATGCAGGCTGATGTGATAGAAAAGACTGTGGCTGCAGACTACAATTGCGGCAGCAGCAGATGAT